GATTCATCCACATTGACAACACCTAAAGACAAACTAAACCGTGTGATGACTATGAACAGTTAAGAGATATAAGTGCTGCACAGGACCCCCTAGCCTGGTGGGGTCATCATGAGTCTGATCTTCCCATCCTGGCTCAGTTTGCACGACAATATATGTGCATTTCAGCATCAAGCTGTGCATCAGAATGTGTCTTCAGCACATCTGGAAATATCTGTAGTGCAAGGCGTTCTAGATTGAGTGAGGAAGACCTAGGCTTTTTGGTTTTCTTGGCCAAGAATCTCAGCAAGACAAAAAGCCTGAGTCAGACTCAGTAGATAGTCTACTCCAAAAGAATCAGCCACCCAATAGTAGGCAAGAGAGGGAGAAGGGACATAATGTTGATAGGAAAATAAGAGATTTTGCTGCTACAGTTGCTAGCTTATTTTAATTTCAAATAATTTTATTTGTTCTAATTGTTCTAAGTTAGAACTTCTAACTTCATACTTTTTATTTACTCACACTGACTGTTCAAAAAAAATTTTTTTGAGTGCAATAAGAAAAGCCTAGTATTTTGAATTTTATTTTGATGTTATTCTAAGATTTTCTATTAAAATAAAGTCAGTAATGACATCGAAATACATTTTGGTACCGGTACCAGCACCAAAATGTTGGTATCGTGACAACACTAGTCACATACTTTGTTTGAATACTGCAGATAGTACAAAGAACTTAACTGTGCAAGTAATGACTCCTCTGTCCTGGGAGGAGAAGTAATGTAGTTTGTTTTATGATTAGAACTGATATAACAAAACTGATTTTGATTATTTGGGACCACCCAAACATGGGTTTTTGGTGGTGCTGTCCTACTGTACCCTGGGAGTAAAATGTATAAGTGCCTACTGTGAGCACTGCTTGAAAGCATATCTGTCATGACCCCTAGATATACGTATATAATAATGATTCATTCACATTTGTACTGACTTTTTTTCAGGGTTGTAGTTAGCTTTGCACACTCATTTATTTATTAATATCTCTGCTTCTCTCTCCTCATATGATATGAGGTAAATTAGTTTATGTTGTGTTTGTGTGTGTGTGTGTGATAAGGAGGGTTATAGTCAAAATCTGTAAAATAATTGGTAGAGGGCCCAGTGCTGCCCTTTCTTCCCCTGCTTCTTGCAGAAGCATTGCTGTGCACCAGAAAACAGCTGTCTCTTATCACCCGAAGTCAACAGGTGTCCTTGTGAGAAGGATTCATGACGCAAATGCTGAACTTCACCTGCTGACCAGGGCAGCTGATTTCAAACTGTGGTCGTTGCACAAGGGAAGCGGATCAGCAAGGACTTGTTTAGCAAGGAGGCATCCGTGGCCTTCAAAACTATTCAGCGTTAACATGTTAATCATTTCCACAATGAGCCTTCATTATACATTTTTTGATGAAGGGCATTTGAACACAAAATTCTGGTTCGGCATCAGGATACCAGGTGACACCATGTCCATAAATTGCCAGTGAAATGTCATTAAAATGCATTTTGTCCATGAAGTGTCGGTGAAATGTATGCTGCAAATGCAGTGTTCTTCGTTAAATAACACAAAATTCATTCTTAGGCATGAAGGCTGGCAGAGCCCCAGTGTGTATTTTGTTACATATTACAGCCAATCCATTTTGTGTTCAAGGAACTTGTCAATCTTGCCAGTTCAAAGTAGTTTTTGCATATTTGTGTGGTTGTTTTGCGTCTGTTTATGGCTGTTTGGCATCTCTCTGTGACCATTTTGTCTCTCTTGTTTTTAAATCTTTTTAGTCACCTTGCGAGTCATTTGTCATTTCTGTGTTTTGGTTAGTTTTTGTGGATCTTTGCAGTTGCTTCATGTCTTTTTTTTTTTTTTTGATTGGCTTTCCAAAAAGAAGTGTTATCTAAATGGTAAATTCACACAGAGGCTTCAATTTCTTGAGAACTTATGTCTCATCACATAATATGTACACTATAATAAACCTTTTACTATAGGAGGAATAAAGATCAAAGTAACTAAGTTAAACTGAAACAAGTACAGAATACCACCAACAGCAGTATTGATAAGACACTAAAGGTAAAGTCAGGTGTTGTACAGTCGGACAAACTCCCTTCCATGTCTTCTACTGAATAATTTGGGTAATTGTTTTTTTTTTTTTTTTTTTTTTTTTTTTTTTTTTTTTTAAGTGATCACATATACTGGGAAACATTAGGGTATTAGTTTGGCATATTCTGGTGCAAAGTGTGGAAGTATGTGTCTCCAGGGTGAACTCTGTGTTGTCTATGGGCTGCAGAGCAACCACTTTGTGCTGACACAGTGTGTCCATTCAGTTTATACTCTGTCAAGGTTTTTCACCATCTAGACCCAGTAACAGTGGGAAGCTAACAACTGTTTAGGCTACTGTCTGTGGAAAAACCCTTTAACCCTTTGGTAGTAACTGGTGTGGGCTAAATTTAAGGGTGAAGATTGGACCCTTCTCACTGCTCATTGTTGAAGGTTGAAAATGTATGCTTCATGTATTGTAAGAGTCAGGTCTGTTTATTAGAAGAAGTCTTTTAATTGAGGCCAATTCTGTAAAATAATGTCTTCAGTGATATTTTTCAGAATCTAAAATAAGACCCTTTTGTTTTCTTTCTTTTGAGGGTCATTGTAGCTGATAATGAGTCATTTTGTAATATCCTATACGGTGATATTTTCTGAGATGGTTATCGTACCGTTACAATCCTAGTAGTGAGTTTTAAAATTAGGGGTCCATTGAATCAATGTTCATGATATAAAAAGATGCCATTATGGTATCGTTGCATAACTAAAACACAACAACCTACTTTCCAAAAATCCCTTTGTCCAAATATAATAACACACCCACATTTCTTACTGAATTGTTGGTGGTTGAGCTGCATTGTGGATAATGTAGATGTCAGGTTTTAACAAGGGAGAATAATGTGTGGAATAAACAGAATACTGTAGCTCTGCTTTTGTTGTATTAATTTTGATCAGTTTTTAAAAGATTGTTCATCACGTCTGACTGTGTCATAGGAGCACAGTACTAAATCAGCACAGTTCTCTTAAGCTTTAACATTTAATATTTGTGATTAAGTAAACAGTCAAAGCTGGAAAAAGAAAAAGGAAAGGGGGAATACAGGTATTGCTAGTGTGATATAACAAGAACTATCCCAACACTGGCAGAAAACACTGTTGATGTTGGATGTGACTATTTGTAGTAAGACATTGATTGAAGGGGGGGGGAGTTTTCAGGGTCTTTTTAAGTATCACTTCTCTGCATACAACAGGCCCACAAGTGGTCATGCCATTTCGTTCAATTTTACAATGAGCTCCTTCAGACAGCGGATATACATTTATGTAGCATCATGTAACTAGTACACCTACACGATTTTGTATTAATGAATTGAAGATAAAAACTAATATGGCCACCTCCTCATTAAATTGGCTTGAGTTTCTAAGAAACATAACAAAGTAGGCTATATATGCTGAAGAAAATGCTTAATATCATGTATAATGGGGGCAATAAACAAGTGAACGAAGTCATTTTCATAATAAAGAGACCATAATACAGTTATGACCATGATGAAAGTCGGGGAACTCTATAAACTTTCTGCATTCTGAAGTGAATAATCATTCTGAGCTCCTGTGTGGACTTCAAGGACCTCTGCATCTCCAATCCTCTCTGCAAAAGAACATTTTACTTTGAATAGATTATCAAAAACACTTAAATAAATCTGGTAAAGAGTAATTACAGTAGCATATAAGTCTACAGCCTTTGTGAAAAAGTTATAAAGGGCAAAACAAGGCTAACAACTTGTTCTGACACAGTAAAAAACAGCATTAAGAATGAGAAAAGTAATACTTTAGTTAGTTACCTGGTTTGTCGTTGCTGAAAGCTTGGTTCTCTTGGTATGAGCTATGGAGACATATCCAATATAAAGCTATGACAATGAAATGTTTTGGAACAGAAACACAAGATGAACATTTGAGAGGCCACCCTGACCTTGTTCTTCTTGGTTTTCTCCATGACTGATCGAATGATGGCCCGTACGCCAGCGGAGACCCTCCAGGATGAAAAGCCTGGAGCTGCTGGAAGTTCTGCTGATTATGTCGTGAGAGGTCGACACCGTCCAGAGCTTGTTTGATCATCCCCATCACCAAGTCCTTCTCTGAGGATGCATAACATAATACAGAAAAAAGACTTTAAAAATGATTAACTGATGCACTTATAGAGCAGTTAAAGCTATCAAAAAAATAAAAACTGTAAATGTTAAGCAGCAAATTTATGATGTATGATGAAATACGACCGGGACATACAACAGCAAAATAAAAAAATTAAAAAAAAAAACTTTAATCTTTTTGAAAAGTATTCAGCAAAACTATTATTTTAGTTATTTAATTTAGTTTAATCAAATTAAATGTTACTTGAATTAACTACTTTGTTTGTTCCTATACACCTGCTAACAGCAAAGGGGTAATATAGAGATCTGTAGTCATGACATCACATCTGGTTAGCCTTTTCCACTAGCTTCAGTACCTCAATGCAGTCTCATTTAGATTTTTTTCTTCCATATTCTAACAACACTTAATACTGGTAGCTGAAACCGTTTGTGGTTTTAACGAGTTGTTCATTTTGAATGGGGTTTCTGCCTTCTGGAACACAACCAGGACGTTCTGGTTTCACTTTGGTTCTCTGTTAACTGCCTCTGTGGGCTGTGTGTCACTTTTTAAAATCTCCCCCCACACTAAATAGTTGCAGTACTCATTAAAATATTCTGACACAGAAAATCACTAGTGAAATGTAGGAGCTGCAACACTTTCATAAAAATAAATGGCAAAATTAATTGCAATGGTTGGAAATGATTAGTTATCTCTTTGTTGTCATAGGAGCTGCCAGGCTTCTGCTGACCTTTTTAAATAATGATCTGATTTAATTGTATAATTAAAGCACTATCACTCTTGTCTCAAAATAACTGATGTTGACAAGCACGTAGGAGCAAGATATGGTAGTATAAGCTACATACAATTGCACTATTAATGTAGCATGAAGCATTTTACCTCTTTGGCCTGCAAGCAGAAGCCACTGCTGGACTGTGGAAAGGGAGTCTGTCTGCAGAATCTGACAAAGTAGCTCCAATACCTGACAAGACGGCAGTAGACATATAAAAAACCTGAGGAGGGGTTACATACGGAGGATGTGGGACCCATGTGTATATATGTATGTATGTGTATATAAAGAGATATTCTACTTACATACACACAGATAATCACAACAGTAGCTTACAAATGACAAATTTATGTTCATGTTATTAGTGAAGTTTTCAAGAAGCCTAGTGACAGAGTTGAGCTGTGGGATGTTTTAGCTAATGCAGTGTAAGTTGGGCAAAAGCTGTGTGCTCAAAACATTGGAATCTCTCTTTTTGATGTGCCACTAACCTTCCTTCTGTGCGGTAAAATATTACATGGTTGTGCCTCATTTCAACCTTACCCCAAGTGACACTTTTATTTTTCAAATCATGGAAGAGCTAAAAACCAGTCAAGGAGATTTTCACCATGAGTTCTTGATCATGGAAGGGGTGAGGATAAGCCAGGCGCTGGGAGTGGGATCTGCACTGGTAAGACTTGGTGGATGGGGGGATGATTCTACCCGTTACAGCTGAATACTGTGTCTTTCGGCGGACAAATTCCTCCTCAGGTTGATCCTGGAATACATTGATGTGATGGAGAACAAAAATTTGATTGACTACAAATCACAAAAACAGTGAAGTACCAGTGATGGTCAACAAGTTCAGCTGCTGCACTTTTGGACATACACCACTAGTCAAAGGTTTTGGCACACCGTCCCACTGATTTGAATAAGAAACCTTTGACTAATAGTTTACGTTGATGACTGAGAATCTAAGATGACTAAGAACAACACAATTAAAGGCTATTTGTGCTATTAAATTACAGCAAAACACACACCTCTTTTTTGTCCTTTTGTGTTTCAGAAGACAAATTGACTTTGGCAGCAAGTTCTTTAAGTTCATCTCTCCATGCTTTTGAAAGTAGTGCTGTGAAATAAAGAGAAAAACAAAATAATTATTATTCTGAAGCTCAGTGGGAGTCTTTGAACGCAGAGCTTTGGAAAGGTAATCAGAACATTCAAGGGCCATGTGCGTGTTCAAAAGTACCTGATTTGTTTTTGTTACTGCTCATGCCAAAAAGATTCTGAGTAAGTGGAAAATTGAAATGCGGGTCAGCTGCTCTCCTGTGGGTGTGGCTATTGAGAAGCGGGTGAGGAAATAATGATGAGGTGACAAACCAATCGTCTCTTACCATGCAAACGGGTCTACCATTGAGTCCTGTGAGAAAGAGGGTGGGACAGTTCACACATTTTAAGAACGGTGCTCCAGAAGTTTGTGAAATTGATTAAATAAAACCATTAAAATCCCTGCTGAGACTAAAGGTAACAACTTATAACCACAACCTCAGGGCAGGAAACCACTTTTCTGCCAACAACACTATTGTATATTTCATGTGCCATATTGCAATTACAGGTGCACATACAGTACAGCTGCTCGGGAAATGTATAATTTGTGAATTGTAAGCAAGATTCGCATTTTATTTCACTTCTGTTTTGGTCTCAAAGTCTGGCTCTTTCAGATTTGATCATTCATTATCAGGGTTTTTAGCCATTTGCTAAAATGCCTTTAGAGCTGAGGGAAATGCAGGTGAAATAAATAGAAATATTATATATTGTGCATATTATTAAGACATTTTTGAAGATGTAGATTGGAACCAGAGTGGTCTGCTGACTTGCCTTATTTTCTGCAGTCATTCAGGGAAATGATAAATAAAGGTTCAGAAAAGTCACTGACATTTATACTACAACACAACACATTTAATTTATTGTGATTTAGGAAAGCTGGTGGTCTTTCAAATTAACTTGCTGTTATAAAAAGCAAGCAGTACATGAAATTGTTGCCCATAAAGCTTATGGTTGCCTGCTTACCTTGAATGTGCCTCACCCTGTGTGGATGAGGGTTGTGCCGCGAGAAGAATGAGTGATGACTCAAAGTACCAAAGCGTGGACTGCTTTTCGTCAGCATCTTGGCAAATTCGGTGTTAAACGGCTGCCGATTAGTTTGACTATGGCTCGTCTCTCCTGTTATCTGCTGGGGGTCCGGGCTGTGTGCTGTTGACATACCGAGTGAATGCAGCAGGGTGTGTCCAAATATGGTGGGATAAAAAACGCTCCAAAGCCAAAGTTCCTTTATGAAGTGATCGATAGAAATACAGAAATGTTAATAATATTGTGAAGGCAAAGTTATGACCACACATGTTAAAGAACATTTGTACACTAACTCCTAACAAGAGGCTAGATGAAATATGATTTACTTCAGGATTGCAAGTTTGCATATCAAATTTGACCATGAAATATATCTATTGTGTTATACCAGACAAATAATTATAGATAAATAGAAAAATAATTTCAAAGAGCCACTTTACCTCTGAAAACAGCCTCTAGCTCAAAACCTTTGGTACTTAATGCTCTGTGTTCCCTTTGTTGCTAAGGAACCTGGAACTAAACAAGGAACAATGGCATCTGTGCACAGTTATTGACTGACACTCTGAACCAGTTCATTTAGGATTTCCGTCTGCAAAGCAGCAAGAATTTAACTATTTACTATGTTTAATGAATTCAGTCAAGTGAAGATGACAGTAATCTGCATAAGCTTGAAATGAAGCTGATTAAAGTAAGACTATAACAAATGTTAGTGAGGCACCTTAAGCCACATTATAATATTAGTTTATTAGTTTGTCACAATGTTTACTGTAACATATGGGCATGAATATTAATGAAAATGTACTCTGAGTCTGGTGATTAATCTTCTAAGGATTGTTGGCTCTGGCTTGTGTGATTCATAGTTCTCAGTTAAAAGTTAAGTAAAAAAAGATAGTAGGGGATGGGCAATGATTTTTTTACATTGTCCATCAAATTTAAAAAATGTTTTATTTCATGTGACTGGTTTTGTATCTAAAAACAAAGAATCACTGTTTTCACTTGCTGGAGCATGAGTGGAGCTCTCTGGACAGCTAGTGGGTAGCCACCTGTGGCGGGACCCTCCCACCTGACACTCACTTAATTATACATAACCTTTAGTCTAACTAGAATTTAAATGTGTGAGTTGTATGAAAACTCACCCCCTGTACAGTTGTAATGGAAGGGGAAATTAGCTATAAAGAACAAAAACGATTTTGGTGCCAGGCTGTAAATATGGGTTTTTTTTCTGCTGTGAAGTTGAGTATTTTAGCATGGGAGTCTCTGGGGTCTGGCTGTCTGGTGGAGCCAGCTTCAAGCGGCCATTTGATGAACAACAGGTGTGAACACTTCGGCATTGGCTTCATTTCTCAGCCTCTGAGGTTGCCACCTGGACCCGACTTGAGCTTCAAAACCAGTGGGTGATGTCATGGAGGTTTCGTCCATCTACTGTACCGTCTATGGGTGAAGCCCAGAGTAAATGAAATGTACTCGGTTAATTTGAACTAAATGCAATTCAGACAAGTATAGAAGTATTCTTTTCTTTCTTATCAGGATTATGGCGCCTGGGAACAATCCTTTCAGAAAGTGGTCTGTATGCAAATCCACTGCTTAATAATTGATATGAGTAATATAATATAACAACATCCGTAACTCTGACAGTCCAAACACCGTTTAGAGAAGCTCCACTGAACACAGGTAATGAGCAACAAAAGCGGATCATTGGTCATGTATTCATCATGACCACGAGACAGGTGTGAACCTAGATCAGGTACTCTGAGTTCATTATTTAAAGTGAAAGGCTTGTTAATCAGTGCTGTTTAAATAACCTTAATGCAAGCTGATAATATAACCCCAAATCAGAAAAAGTTGGGATGGTATGTAAAATCTAAATTAAAACTGAAAATGGTGGTTTGTAAATCATCTGTCCTGTATCACACTGAAAATGATACAGCAGCACATTATTTGATCTCATCAGTTTTATTCCTTGTTTAAAATAAACTCTCACCTCAGTTCTGATGCCTGCAGCACATCAAAAAACTAAAATAAGAGACAAAACATTTAGAGATTCAGTACCTTCAGATGGTAGCAACTTTTTTTTTTTTGTAATTCAGTATTTATTCATTTTAAGCAGATTAAACATAACATGAAGATGGCAGCAGCGTTTAAGTAAATTCTGTATGTAAAGAGAGAAAAGACAAAGACCCAGACATGAACCAGATTGGTAGATTTTGATGAAATAGTCTGAATCCCCCTAGCATATGTCTCCCAGGACATGTAAGCATTCAAAATCCACATAATAGTGTCAACTGTAAAATCTAGGACTTGTTAACTCAAGATTAAAGGCATAAATGACAAAAGCGTGTATTTGAGAGTGCATCCATTTGCAGTAATGAAGTTGGACATTAGACACAAAAACAAGAACTGAATAGACTCATCAGTTTGTTTTTGTGGTGAATGAATATTTTTGATAGGCCTGCAGTTCTGTCTGGAACACGTCTCACTGTTGCAGACCATTTGGCTCCCACAGATTTGACAGAAAACATGTTTTAAAGAAGTCGATCAATTCTTCACAATGCTTTCTCCAGTCATAATTAGGCAGTAGGTACACAGAGTACACAGTAGGCAGACAGTGTGTGCAGTATTGTCTGCCTGATGTGGTTTTGCTTGCTTTCATAAATTACCTACACAGGTAGAGGTAATGCAGTATTTTCTGTGACCTTAATTTCCTATTAAGTGCTACATCAGCGACCTCAAACTTTTCTCATATAGTCTTTTGTACATCAGAAAACACACCTGGGAAAACACTGTAGGATGGGTATGTTTACAGAGTATCATCCCTGTCTATTTACTATGGCAGTTAGGTTTTTATGTGCTTTTTAGCAGTTTATGACAGATGTTGGACCAAAAAGCAGATGAAAGGGAATAGGGAGGCTTGTCAGCAGGGCAAAGGCAGTCAGACCAGTAAACAAATGCTGATGGCTAAGCCAGGCAGGAAAGTGCTCACAACAAAGTTTAAAAAGCTGCACGAGACCTGTGACTGCGAAGTACACTTTTTTTTTACTTTAACATCCGTTTAATGCGGTCACTCCAGAATTTATTTGTTAACTGAACCTTACAGCTTTGTCAAAATGGCTAGTCACACCCTAGCCATTATACAGTATGTGCAGTGGAAATCCAACGGATTCATGAATTTTTAAAGAAAACCCTCATATTTCATTTCTCAAAGGACACTGAACTGTAATTATATTGCTCTTCTGTGAATTATATGGCTGGATAAATTATAACTCTGCTACCGACATTTGTTCTTGTGCTGCACACCTTTGGGCATTTATAGGGTTTGGGCCGACCTTCATTGTTTACGAAACGAAAAGCAAGAACCATAAGCTACCTCTGATGCACGTTTTTGTTTGCTAATTACTAGGCAATTTAAGGAGGCCTTGTCATGTGGTCCCTGTTTTCTGATAATGTCCTGTAAAGAATTATGTGATTTGGTGCAAACTGCAAGAATGATCAAGTTGAGACAGTTACTGGGGTAGTTCTGAGTCATTAGCAGTTGTATATACACTCTATACACTTGTGTAGCTGACCTGCTGTGCACTGATTACATTGCATAAGCTTGACAATTAACTGGACATAATTAACTCATTTTTTGACATTGCTTTTGGTATTTATGTCCACATATTGTTTTTATTTAAACAATATAAGAAGGAATCTTTCCTAGTTTAAACTTTCAATCTGTAATGAGTGATTGCTGCAAAGTTTAGTTTTAATGTGAGACTGTGTAACTGTTCTCAGAGCAGTTATGGGATAAAATGCTAAGACAGTGTGTAACAGTAGCATAAGTAGGAAACAGAGAAGTATCTCATGAATATGAATGAAGTACTTTACCCTTGTACCTAAACTTTACTTAATGCTGTCTATATTTTCAGAATATCCAGGGACTGTTTTAACAATCTGAATGCAATGTGTTTAGTCTTCTGCTCAGGAAAAAATACTTGAATCTGATTCACAAGTTGTTTCCTGTCCAAATGTTTGTGGCCACCATCTTTGTTTTGATTCAGAAACAGAGATATAACTTGGGAAACTTCTCAAAAATCAGTTTTATCATTCAGAAGACTTAATATTTCGTGATCCAAATGATTTTTAGGGTCTTCGGAGATTCTAGAAGTATATTCAGAACAACAGTAAGTGTTTTAAACAGTTCTACAGGAGGCGCATACACTGGGGCTACATGGAAAAATTAAGTGTTTTAAACAGTTCTACAGGAGGAGCATACACTGGGGCTACATGGAAAAAATATTCATACTGTATACACATAGTAAGCCTACAACTTTACAATTGCTCTGTCTTTCTCTATAGTCAGCTGAGTCCACACGCACCACTCGCAAAGCAACAGCTGCAGCAGGTCCTGCTGTGCGCAGGAGGCAGCGCAGCATCCTGACGCACTTGTGGGTTTCAGCTCGGAACCTTCACCTATCCCCCACCCCGTTTCTTCTGCTTACAAGCACCTTGATCTCGGGATTGAAGGCGAGTATCAAGATGGCAGCAGCATCGACAGATTCGGGGCAGGAATCCACCAAAATAACTCCCGAAGTGCTGCAGGAGATGCTCCAGTACTACAACCTGAGCCGCGAGGAGTTCATCAACACTTACAACATCCAGCCGCTCGTCTACATCCCCGAGTTGCCGTACGGCGCCAAGATCACGTTCGTGATTCTCTACGTGGTCATTTTCGTCCTGGCTCTGGCTGGAAATAGTTTGGTCATCTACATAGTTGTGAAGAAACGGACAATACAGACGGCGACAGATATTTTTATTTGCTCTCTGGCAGTCAGCGACCTGCTGATCACTTTCTTCTGCATACCTTTCACTTTGCTGCAGAACATCTCGTCCGAGTGGTTCGGGGGTGAGCTGCAAATCTCTAAACTTATATTTTCTCGAATGTGAATCAGTCCAGATAATGAGTCGAATAGTGGAAGTTAAGGCACAATCCCATTCAGAATCCATATCTTCTTATTTGCACCTGGAAGCCTGGCCCCAACCTTATTAAACTAGGAAGAGCATAAAGAAACAAAAATGCAGGCTATGTAAAGTCCACAGGTGCGTTGGTTGCAAAGTGCATGGGATTATCAGATCACGTAAGGAGCCCTACAAACAAGCGATCCCTTTAGCGAATTAACTTCTAGACAGGATCCAGGTAGGTGCAGCAGGAGGTCATGTATCTAAATGATTGGCTCCTCAAGCTTTCAGTATAAATAAAACAGACTATTTGTTTTGAGCCACAAACCTGAAGAGACTGCCAGCTGATTAAACCCTCTAAGTCTGTCCCATTGCTCCAATAAAGGGAGAGAGGGTTGAAATAAAACATTTCTACACAGATCAATAGGAGCATCGATGAGCCCCACATCATTGTCACTCTTTAATATCGGAACTGTATTTTGCAAGGGTAACTTGAATAGCTTTTGCATTCACTAACAAAATTTAAATGAATGAAGAGGACCTGTGGCTGAGTTTGTGATGCTCATGTCAAACTTTGCAGACACAGTATAATGATCATGCAATTAAAGTTTGATGCCTCAGTAGGGTTTGTTAAAATTAATTTTATTTCTGCACTTTAATTGTGTTTTTGTGCAGTAAGTGTGATGCATAACTCAAACATAGTTTGCATTAATGATGGAATACTGATATTGTATATTTCAGTAATATTGGATTATTTAAAGAGTGCATCAGATTGTTCTGTTTGAAGTAGATCTGCCATACAATTTCACTTATCTTTGTTGTGTTGTCACTTATTTGATACATGTTGTTTTCATTAACCTGAGTGAGGAGTTTATTTTTGTCTGGAATGCACAAGTTTTCCTAGTTTTCTTATGTAAATGGTTTTAAAATACCAATTTGTACCAACTGACTGAACCGATGGAGTATGTTTGGTTAATGCAGTAAGCAGTTTTATTAGTTTTATTAAGCTCTGTGAGTATACTGGTAATAAATTACTAGTGACTTGATAATGAAAGTGTCAAACACATTTCTAAGAAACTTGCGATATATGACAGTTTTTAAAAATGTAATTTAATGTGGTGTAGTAGCATTTCAGTTCAATTAAAGGTACCTAAGGTTGCTCCAGTTGGAGAATTTAAATGTGGTAGGTGGATCAAAAGAAAAAAGAAAAAGATCGACTTTGCTGGATGATATTCTGTGCAACACTCCTGCAGAAACAATGAGTCGGAGGTGTTGCTTCAGCTGTTTTAATGCGGTCATGTGAGATGCTGTCATTGTGCTGCGTTATATCTAAAAGATTTTCTGATACTATGTCAACCAGGTGGGCACCTGACAGTACATTCACTGTATCACCACCTCTCTGACTCAGTGTCACTGGAAGTCCTTTCTTAACTTTATGGATGGATAACAATGCATTGCTGCTGGACTGGATTCCATTATATTCAACAGTTATATTTAATATTGTGACTGTGAATATCAGTAAGGATGCTTCACAGAAATATAACTGACAGCTGACATTCAGTCTATTATAGTAATTGAATTCCAACTCAAAGCTTGTGCTCCTATTATATTTGCATCAGTTCAGGATGAATCTGAGCAGAATTACCAAATGATCCATACACACTGTAATTTGCACTCAGATTGTGCCTTTGTGTTTCATTAGCTCTCAAATATGTGTGGTCCCTGTGTTCATTATTGTTTGTAAAAGGGTGGTAATTAATATTGTTACAGTGTATATACATATATTGTATGTCTATTTGTATAAGGACTCTAAGAACAACTGCTACTAATGGGGATCTAATTATTAAACGAACAAACAAACTAATTATTTTCTCTCTCTGTTTTGCCTGCAGGGGTTCTGGTTTGCAAGACAGTTCCCTTTGTGCAGACTACAGCCATAGTGACAGGCATACTGACAATGACCTGCATTGCAATTGAGAGATACCAGGGCATCGTCTTCCCTCTGAAAATGAGGAGGCAGTACTCGTCCAAGAGAGCCTATAAAATCTTAGGTATTCACTGTTTTTCAAGCACGGCTTATGCTCTTAGGAGTGGGTGTGTCCTGTAAACAAGTTAGAAGTTGCAGTTAAGGTGTCACCTGTGCATGATGCCTACCCTGCATATTTGGCACACATTCAGTATTCAGCACACTAAATTAGATGCATTTCATGGAAGAGTAGTGTTAAAGCTCAAATTAGAGTAGTGATAAGACAAAAATCCCTGTGTGGTAGAGGCACCACACACTTTCCAAATCCAGCATCCTGTTTAGACATTTTTCAATTTATTTCTCTTAGAGTTTTGCCATACATTTCAGCATGGAACTACAATAATAATCTTGTGACTATGTTGTTAAGTGCTTATATTTCAAGAAATTGTGGTCTTACACTGTTGGAGCTGAAAACAAAGAAATGTGGAATCTTGCAGAGATTGATTACATGAAAAAATAATTTGTGTCACATGCATGATGCTGGCTTTGAATTTCCTTGGCAGGTATAGTATTTATGAAACTGGATGTACTATTCGAACCAAACGTTTTTATGTGCTGAGTGTAGCTGTATTACAAATCTGTCTGCATCCTGCAGGGCTTGTGTGGATTACCTCAGTGATGGTGGGTTCACCAATGCTGTTTGTACAGCAGCTGGAGGTGAGTGGTGCCCTTCAGAGCAGCGTATCACAAAATCCCTTCCATTAGTTTCTTTCAGATGTAAATGGTCTTATACTTGTAGAGCACTTTTCTATGCATTGCAACACACTCAGAGCGCTTTCACATGGCCATTCGCACTGGCGCATTCACACACCAGTGATGTCACCGGGAGCAACTGGGGGTTTCAGTGTCTTGCTCAAGGACACTTCGACATGCAGACTGGAGAAGCCAGGTTTTGAGCCACCAACCTTCCAAATATAACTGCAAAGCAAAGTCACACACTTAGTGTTAGCAGGACAACATCACACAGACTTTAGTTCATCTTTAGTCCTATGAGGTGCAACCAATTACATAACACAGACCGTTTTCCTCAGTCACATACAGAACATATTACCCTGTCGGTAAGAGCTTCTTATCTGTCTCGATTGTTTTTTCCAGGACTAAAAGGTTTTTATCCTCCCTCTCTCAGGTGAAGTATGACTTCCTGTATGATCTTTACCACGTGTGCTGTCAGGAGAGCTGGCGCTCCCTGACTCACCGGCAGGCATACACCACCTTCATCATGGTGGCTCTTTTCCTGCTTCCTTTGGCAGCCATGCTGTTTCTCTATACACGTATTGGCATTGAGCTGTGGATCCGCAAGAGGGTGGGCGACTCCTCAGTCCTAAACACCATGAACCACGGAGAGATCAGTAAGATCTCAAGGTGGGCTATACAGCAGAGGTGACCCCCAGAGTATTTATTAGTGCATCTTCACCACATAAAAATGCTTTTTTTAAGCACATTTCCTGGAAGCCTGAATAAATACATTTTTGGCTTCTTGTACACAAAAACACCTGTTTGGTCTCTTGCAAGACTCCTCTAGATGATGCAAAATGACACGTTGCATCAACCAATAAAAGAACAGCCTCCACCAGGTGACGCAAACGCATCATTTTATGGGTCTTGCAGGAGACCGAATGGGGATTTCTGTGTACAGGAACCATGGAGAGGTGTAAGATAAACATCATTTAGATATAACATTTATTCTGTATGTATTATTTTGTCTGCATTATTTAAGCTATATGTATTCACCATCAATAGCAAACTCTGTTGCAGTTTAGACTCGTTTGGAGATCAGAGATCGTGTCTTCATAAAAGGCCTACATGGCATGGTTAAGGATTTTTAAATGAATGAAAAGTAGTGGATGTAATATTTCTAAACGTTTTGTATGAAACCATATCTGACAATTTTTATTCTAAGTGGTTTTATGTGACTTTCTATAGGTGGCTTTAAGGCAGCACAAAGCTGGAGTTGCTTCACAATAAAAGCCCTAGAAATTGAGTCTTGAACAGAATGATCGCTACAGTAATGTCTGACTACTGTATGCTTGGTTCATATAAAGTAGGGTAAGCAACATGGATAATTGCATCTTATTGGTTGCGTCTGTTTATTTCCAGTCAACATGTCTGCAGTACGAAAGTCTTTCATTAACTTTTCTTCAGTTGTAAATGACTTCTGCTTACCTTACCTTCTACAGGAGAAAGAAAAGAGCTGTTAAGATGATGATCACCATTGTTCTGCTGTTCACCATTTGCTGGGCACCGTTCCACACAGTCCACATGCTCTTTGAGTACTGTAAGTATCACTGGATGCATTATTATAGAGTCAAAATGAATTTCATGTGAAAAGGAAATGGGAACTATTTCTTGACTTAGCTTGACTGCATGTTGCCATTCATTTAAAGTCTCAGTGCGGTTCATTAGTTGGAGTTGTGATCTCCTACCTATATATAACTGTCCAGATGATCTGGAGCAGAAACATGATGAAGTCACACTCAACATGATCATCGCCATTGTTCAGGCCATCGGGTTCTTTAACAGCTTCAACAATCCCATTGTATACGCCTTCATGAATGAGAACTTCAAAAAGAGTTGTCTCTCCACCCTCTCCTACTGCATCAGAAAACCAAATCAGCATGGCGGCGCTGTTGCGGCGCCCAAACTGAGCGTGCAGTTTATCAAACCCCAAAGTAGAGAAGCCTTCCTGGAATCAGATGAGGGCAATAGCTCGAGACACCACGCAGCTGAGAAAGGCCCTTTGAGTTCATCACAGGGAGAGAGCTCCCTGGAAATAATAGGAGAAAAGATCTCCACCATCCAAACAGGGCTCCCTGCAAGCTGCTCCTCTCAAGTCAAATGAGAAAGATGTGGCTCAAAGTGCAGGTATTTAGTGTTGAACTCAACCCTCTTGTTTGCATTAAACACTGGCAGCTGCAAGAGTGTCAGCAAACATCTTAAAAACACATTTCTCCACTGCCAGAAGTGGGAATGTTTTCTCAATCTGGTCAGGAGAACAGCTGGAAGGAAATGAAGGAATCCCAACCAAAAGAGGGCAGTTGTACTATAAATACAAATACTGGAAGCAGTCAGGACCAGCAGTCAGACACTGAAACACCAGTATATTACCTGCATCAAGAAATCCTTTCTGTTGGAATGACTGAAATCCGCACGAGTGTTCAGCCCCTCTCCGAGAGTGTCTGAGGAATCCTGAAGGGAGAACTGTCATCACTGTGGTATTATGCTACATTTGGATCTGTTTGGAAATGGCAGCATGCCATAGAGGACATCTGACTTTGAATAGCTGTGCTTTTAAAAGAGCAAAGGGTGGCCAAGGATAATGCTTCGACTTACATTGCAGTTAAATTTGCATTAGTTAAAGTCAGCTATGTGTATTCAGGTAAATTCAATAGCAAACTGTGTTGCCATTGAGACTCCTTTGAAATCGGTTTGGGGTCGGAGTTCATGTCTTCATGAAAGGACTACATGACAATGTTTAGAACAGAGTTAAAGGATAGGGCCAAACATTTTCTATATTAATGGTCTATCCATCCATCCATTATCATCCACTGATTCCTTTTCCTGCAGCTAGTGAGTCTAGTATTTTCTGCAATCTTCAGCTTTATTTACTTTCAGCTAGGTCCTCACGCCCAGGTCTGGTGTTCGCTAATGAAGAAATGTCTCCCAGTGTAGCAGTGTTTCACCAACACGTTTTTAATCATTTTCAAAAAACAATAGAGGTCTATGGCGCAGACAAATGCAATAATCCAGGACTGTCAGACATTAACCGTGAGTAGAGGCAATTCATTGTTGGTTTTAGTCTCTGTATGGAGATTGCTGAAAATACCATTGATATAGAAAATGACCAGCGTTATCCTTTAAATATACTCTCCATACAACTGTTCAGTTCAGCCTTACTTACACATCAATTACTGTTTTGATTTTATGACTAACATCTGGTTCATTTCCTAGAGTATGTGCAGTGAACTAGTGAAGCTTTTTGATGTTAGATATGAGATCCATTTTAAGTTACCCTGACTGGTGTAGCAGTTTAATCATGGCAAAATAAATCACAGCATTTTTTATTGTACCACTGTAGTAAAAATAAAACAGCCAAGTAAGAAAAAGCAGAAATCAGATGTGTAACATGGCCTCTCATACACATGGTTAATATGTTTGCTTAATGGTGCTGTGGACTATTTTGCAATGTTAAACATGACTGAGGTGAATATGGTTTTTGGTGTATAGTAACACATTCTGTAATATGTTCAGCAATGGCAGCTTTGCTTTTATTCACAGTTCTGTGCAGATTTTTAGGATGTTGCACCAAAAAGCTAATTAATTTAAAATTGTGTTTTGTTTGTTTTTTCTTTAATAGAGAGCATTAGATGCCAGTAGGCTCTACTTTTTTTTATGTCACCCAGGTACTGTCCTTTGGCAGCTGGGTCAATAGCATTTCTTAAAGATTGTGCTCTTTCTCGCATCAAATAAAATGATGACATTACAACTTGTTTGTTTGTTTTCTGTACACCGAGTTAAATTCAGATGGGGCATCTTAAGTTACAGACTCCACAAAATGTCTGAAGTGGGAAGGGGGCTGAACTTTAATAAAGCAAGGCTGAAGAAGAAGAGTTGACACCTACTTCATGATTAAGAGGTAATCTTTATTACACTTTAAATAACCAGGTCTTTGTTATACATACAAAACACTGCCAAAAGCTTAGAATTCAGTGTTCTGTGCCATTACCTTGAGGGAATGTAGCATTATGTTACATCTTAACAGAGCAAAAACACTGTTCAAAAGCAGTTTATAACAAGTGTTTGAAGCATGTAAAGTGTTCTGTATTCTCTTCAGACTTGAACTGAAACAGTAAGCAATTCTACAGTCTTAAATAACTAAAATGAAGTGATGCGCTCTGACAGGGTGGTACCAACAAAAACATTAGGTCAAAACAGGAGAGACAACCCTGTTTTCTGTTAGAGCCCCAAAAAGGAAATTCTGACACAGTCATAGGCACTTCTATATTTAGACGCAAACGCGGGGAAAAAAAAGCAACTTCAAAATATAGCTGCTGTTTCTTACTTCAATGCTATGTGATCAGAGGTATATGGAAGTCTGCACTGTCAAAGAGGAGAGGCCTTGTGACTGGAGAGGGATCCTTGTCAGCCTTGTGTAGGAGTTTAAACAGCCCCGTTCCAATATTCATTGGAATCCCCATAATTATGCACTCAGACACCCCTGTAACATGAACAAAGGAAACATTAAGATCCAATGAAGTCATAAAGAGGTAAGTTAAATTTCACTGAAGATGAAGCATCAGCTTACCACAGACAGAATCCTTTTGTCCAAAATAGGCAGCATCGAAGAGATGATCGGCTGTTTTCTCAAAGGAGGCCAACATGAGGACACTCTCCTTCATCTTGGCTAAACCGAACCTGGTGATTCCAAGTATCTCTCCCTTTATGGGCAGAAGATACAGAATAAACGTATAGAAATACTTTTTAACAACACAAACACTACAAGGCCTTAACACAGTTTCTACTGGTGTACCTTATAGGACATGAGATCTGCAAGAAGCATGACGTGACGTCGGTCAATGCTCATTCCGTGGTTCACCATGGTGTACTGAATCTCATTGATGATCGTAGATCTAGCAGCCTCAATACCCAAGGTCTTCTCAACCTAGACATTTACACAGAAAAGGTCAAGAAATCTTAGGAAATTCTGTATATTACTGTAAACATTTGATATATTTGTAATTATTCACACTAGAGACTCTGTAAATAAACAGGTTTTTTTTTCCACTATGCATACTGAGCCGCCAGCATCCACCAACAAAAATCTAATTATATAACACTGAGCTGTGGATATACTGTAAAATTCAGCTTTCACTTTGCAGACAAATATTCTCAGACACGTGAAGTTGAATAATCATTGCTGATTTAAAGTTAAAGCCAACTTCAGTCCTTTATAACAGTTTGGACAAACTTTCATGAAGTCAGGATTTACTACGCGCTAATCTGCATTTAATATCAACTGGGAGTTGTAAAGAGTGGGGGCAGCAACAGAGAAAGCTCTGTCATCCCAGGTTCGGTGTTTAGTCCTCTGGGGGATGGAAAGAAGACCTAAATCAGATGAATAGAGGTGTCACACTGGGACATGATGGTGAAGGAGGTCGCCAAACTGTGCAGGGCTTTGAAAGTACTGAGGTGCAAAATGGAATAGGGAGAGAGGGAGCCAGTGGAGGTCACGCAGAACAGGGGTGATGTGGTCACAAGAATGAGACCAAGTGAGGAGACGGGCAGCAGAGTTTTCAACATGCAATAGTTTACTATAGTAATCAATTCTGGGTATAACAAGCATGGATGAGTGTTTCCACAGCTGAGAAAGACAGAAGGTCAAAGACAGGCACTGTTTTTTAAATGAAAGAAAGCTGTTTTGACAATATCGTCAATCTGATGCTCAAATGATTATATGGGGTAAAGATGACTCCAAGGTTTCAAATCTGGGTGGAGGGAAAAACGGCAGTGTTGTCAATTTGTAGGAAAAAGTTATTTGTGGATTTAATGAGGGATTTAAGGCCGATAAGTATTATTTCAGATTTAGAGCTCTTCAATTTGAGGAAGTTTGCTTCTAATTCATTAAGGCAGTCTGTAAGGGTGAAATGAGTTTTGGCTGTGAGGGATTTAGTATTACTCAAATGTCAGGGCAAACCATACAGAGCAGGTCAACCTGCAGAACACACTAGCTCATGCGTTTCAGTTGAAACACAATCTAATCAAAGTTACAGCACTACTGGCTTTAAATCTCCTTTGACTCGTACCTCATATGTATTGTTTGAAGTGGTCCTGCTTCCATTCACTCCGTGCGTTGCCATGACAGCTCTCAGGTTGTCCCCCTCCACCAGGAGTTTGTACTTGTTCTTGCCACTCTGCTCATCAATGTGAATGACGGCTCGGGCAACCTCGGGTATTCCCTGAACCACCACCTTCCAATTGAGAAAAGAGAACAGTGCCAACAGTTAAAAACATCAGATCTCATTTAAATTTTATTCTAATTTAGGACCAGCACCTAAATTAACCTTTAGTATAACACATTCAAAATTTCCTTAGTCATGTTACTGATAATGCTTTAACGTCTCCTTGTTTCACTCACTTGCACCTTAGTCCCTCCCACATAAGATACAAGGAAACACAGTTTTGGTGAAATAAGATGTCCTTTCCTTTGACCCCGCTATCTCAAGTGACACCATCTTCTGATGACTGCACAGCTGGATCAGCTGTCAGTCTGCTGACCTTTGAGATCTTTGTAAGCCTTAGAGTTGGTATTTACACAGGATAATGTGATTTTACTGTCCAAATAATAGCTACTGCAAATACAGCGGTGTAGTTGTCCTCCAATATGACAAAAGAGAATGAAATATCTCTGCACATTTCCACTTAAAAAAAAAAAAACTGTTTGATAAGCATCTGCACATTCGTTAAAAACCCGCATTTATACTGTGAACAGATCCATTAAACCACAGTTACTGCTCAGATGCACATAAACCAATGAGGCTCACTGTATTTGTAATGATTTGCATCTACATTTGATATTGTTTGTACATTCATTATGTAATTATCTAGATTATAATAAGTGTGCTTATGTGTTTTATGTCCTTCATTTCTTGTCTTGTATTTCTTTTCCTGTCAGGAGCGTCCACTGCCTACACCATGATGGGACCATGCAGTTCAACACTGCTTGGTAAGTTTTATAATCTCTTGTTCTCACTGTACTGTTGAAATATGATTTAGTTGGAAAATAATAAGAAGACGAGCTAAAAAGGAGGGTGGGTGAGTTCAAAATGTCAGCAGACACATAAGCCAATGTGTAAGAGTTTTCCCAGCCATCTTTTCAAGTGTAAGTATAAAATGTATGAAACACAAGCCAAACTCTGTGTTTTCAACTGTCCCACATCAGATTCTCACCTTAGGAAGTTCTTCTTTTAGTGACTGCAACACATAGTACATGGAGCTTTTGTTGTTCTCTCGTGGAGACACACACACCACCGCCTCGCCATGCACAGCAATGTCTCCAGGTTTCACTCTCAGTTTGGACATGCAGATAGAGTAACGCACCGTTTCTGCATTTACCTGAAAGATAAAAAAAGAAGAGATTGGAAGTACAGCTCCTATTGTTATTCTTACCACACAACACAAATAACAGAGCTATAATGGAGCTCTTCATAACCTACAGACAAAGCGTGAGAGCACTCTGCTGTGGCTGCTGCTGTTGCAACAGCAGGAAAACATACTGCAGCTCTTCATCACAGACATTTCACCTCCAGAATATTTTTGGTCTGGCCCAAATGTTTTGAAGATTCAACTTTAAACACAGCAACCGATTTTGTACACCCCAGTGAGACTGTATCAGTTTTGAAGAACACACAGCATTTGCAGGATAATGTCAAGATTGCTTTTAATTCCCACTTTATTTTTAAGATTGTCTTGATTTAAAGGGATAGTTCAGTATTTTAGGACATACACTTTTTTTGCTGTCTGGTTAAGATTTTGATGACGAGCTCAATACCCTCATGTCTGCCTGGTAAATCTGAAGCTGATTTAGCAAGGGGTTGTTTTATTGCTTATGAATTAAATTTTTAATTAGCAAAACTGTGCTATTTCCTTACAGAGCATTACTTTAACAGTTACCCTGGTTAAAAATAATTTGGCATCAACTTTTACTACTCTATCTCAGCTATTTTTGAGATTTCTATCAAAATAAGTCTAATAAGAGAATCAGATGTAGCTGTGCACAAAACTGCAAAAATAAGACAGACAAGAAATTATGCTTTTAGGTGTGAAAGGGAATAAATCTGGAATATTCACACACTGTCAGCAAAAATAAGAAAGCTGTGTTACCTCCAGTCGCAGCAGCCTTATTCGCTCCAGCGACAGTTTCACCAGAATGAAACAGTCATCAGGTAGAAAAACCTCTTCTATGTACTCAGAAATCTGTAGAGGACAGCAAGAGACCTCGACTTTATTACAGCAGCCGAACATCAACTTGTTCATGTCTCACTAAATGCTTCCTTTGGAACTTCTGCTGTCAGTCAGTCAGTCCATTCCTTTATAGCACTGATGTACCGATGAAGGTCAAAAAGTTACAGACAGGTGTCTATTATATGTTGCAGGTTGGAATACCTCTCCCAGAAGAGTTTTCTCGATCCTTCCCTTCACCAGTCTGGCAAAGTCAGCGTCGTCTTCCACGTCCAAATGAGCAGTGATTATAGGGGTGCTGAGTGGTGAGAAGAGGACTTTCAGTAGAATATTTAAACAAAATAGGAATGTGCCCAGGTAAGTGATCAATATCACACTCCACTGAACTGCAACACTCCATTATTAATAACTGAACTTAGATTTAATACCTGATGTTCTTGGATGCATTAATGATCTCTTTAATGCGAGGCACTCCCAGAGTGATATTCATGGACGCTACACCAGCGAAGTGGAAGGTCTTCAGGGTCATCTGAGTACCAGGTTCTCCGATACTCTGAGCACACAGGGCCCCTACTGCTGAGCCTGGCTCCATCTGAGCTCTAAAAAACAAAACAAAAAACCCCCTAATTTTTCAAAAAGCTGACCCAGCTTTCATTGGTCTGAAAATAAGTGGATCGTTATAATCAATAAATCACCACACATTTGGTACACTTGAGCTACATGTCATAAAAGGTTGTCTACTGTTTAACTGTAGTGATTAGTTTTTTCTTGTAGCAAAAAAAACACAAAAAAACCCCAAACTGTTGGGTGTGCATGGAGACATAGACCAATTTGTTCATATTAAAAGCTACTGCTATGCTGAAAATGAAAAGCACTTTAGATTTGTACCTCATGTACTTGTCTCTGCAGGTTTCAAGAAATTTCTCCAGCTGGGTTGGGGTAATACGGTCCAGCTGGTAAAGAACCTTTGGCTGCGAGACAAAGTAAAGAGGAAAACAAGTTTCAGATGCACAGTGGCTTCAAACAGTATTTAGATCGTTTCACCTTTTGCACACGTTTTGTGCAATAGATTAAATTTTTAAATTGATAAAATTGCATTTTTTGCAGTCTGTCTACACTCAGTAACCTGTAATGATAATGATGGTAACTCAACTTGGCCGGACCAACTTTTTCCATGCCACAGTTGTTGTTGCCACTGTGGCAACTGAGTGAAAAAGTGAAAATGCTTTCACTTTGTCATTATGGGTTAATGAGTGTTAAAACTGCCATCTTATCCATTTACAATTAAATCTACAACACAATAAACTACACAAAAAGTGAGGGGGTCTGACTACTGAAGCCACAGTGGCTTAACTTAAGGATATTGCTGCAGTCAGCACATTCATCTGTGGTACAGTATCTTACCTCACTGGTGCCATTGTCATTGATGCCATACTTGTCTCGGGTCTTCTTGATCCTTTCTGAGATGCTCTTAATAAATTTTTTAATCTCCTAAAGTTGATGGAAGATAGTAATTGTCAGAGGTCAAGTCCAAAGCCTCATTAACATCTTTCACAGCAAACAATGAAATGTGACCAAACTGTATGCTGTTTGACACGTGATAGCACTGTCATGCAGTTGTTAGACATCACAGGCTGAGCGTGGAGAATGCAAACTCCCAGTAAAGCCAGTTAAACAGTCTCTTCAAGAAAAACAAACAATAAGCAGAGTTTAAAGGGGTTTAAAGGAGCAGTCAAGTTGTCCAAGTGTGAATCTAAGAACACTGACAAAGGCTGTTAAATGTAAAAGAGCAACAGTGAGAGGAATCTGTTCCAAATCTCATTGACACACCATTCTCAAATCTGCTGTGGGACAGTGCAGCATGCTCAGCCACTATACCTCCAGGTACTTCTCTGAGCCTGTTTCAGTTAATTCCTTTACAAGGGGTAGGAAAAGTTCACATGTATTACTGCCAGCACATCAATTAACTGCATGGCTTTGAGTTCATGTAATGACAGTATTTCTCTGTACTGTAATAATTATATCCAAGACAACCAATTGGGAAAAGAAGCCCAATTACCTTCTACGTTAAATACTATGTTATTCCTCCTTGTCAGGAGGTGTAATTATTTTCTCTCTGCACAATTACCCTGTGACAATATTTAATGCCTCAAGTTTTACCAAAACTACACACTTCTGTTGAATTCTACACTTTTTTTGACGGCTTTCTTGCATTGTGCGACAGTATTGTAGCAGAAAATATGAGTCTGATCCTGAACGTTTCTCCAGTGTTCAGTGATCAGGCTGGCGTTGTACAGACAGGTGACAAATGAAAGGCTAAATTAACAAAGCATCTTAGTAAGGTGTTGCGTCGACATGTGCCGCCAGAACAGCTTCAGTGCTCATTGGCATTGACTGTCTGTGAACTCTACTGGAGGGGTGAACATCATTCTTCCAAAAATACATTATAGGTCCTTGAACCTTGTGCACTGAACCTTAATGGAGGTGCTTTTAAGAGTGCTTTCTAGTCTTGATCATTTTCCACTCATCAGCTCAGCATGAACCACTTCACCTTAGGAATTCAGTATCTAAGGTTCAAAGGTCAACAGAAATGCAATTCGCTTCCAATTCTAATATATTAGACAGCACTGTGCTGTGATAGTATTACCTCCAAGAAGCTGTCTCTGCAACACAAGAAGTCCTCTCTCTTCATGATGGCATCTGCAGTGAGGACCAGCTCATTTTGACTAAGTGCAGGCTCATCTGGACATGTATAAACCGCCTGGGGGGAAATACAAAAAAAAATATGCTATAATTGGGAGTAAACAGGGGAGAAGCTGAACAGCTCCCAATTGCGTCTAACAGCTGATCCTCATTGCATCTGAAATAGCTCCAACCTCAACCAAAAAAAAAATCTCTGACTGGAACAAAAACATTTATCTTACTATATTCTGTCTAATCTCCATAAACAGGCTGGGGCCAACATATAATCACTACTTTTGCTTGTAAAATTACATATAATCAGCCCTCTTGATGGATGGATACAACTGACTTGGTAACAGCTGGCAAAGAATAGACAGAGGACAAACAGACAGATAACTTTGTTATTCTGTTACTGTTCTGTTATATGAAGCACTCTGAACTGTGATTGTATACAAAATGTGCCATTTAAGGAAAATGCCTTGTCTTGCAGGTAACAGATTATCAAGCAGCAGAGGGTGTTCCTGCAGAGTTCACTATCTCACCCGGATATTGTCTAGGACTCTCTTAAACTCCAGCGGCTCATCCTTTCCCTCCATTGCAGCGGGGTCCAGACCGTCACCACCATAAATAAACTGAATGATGTCACCGGTAGAGCTGCGTACTGTCAGGTCATACTGTGAGCACAAATCCTCCAGGGACTTTACCAGTCGTCTCTGTCCAAACACAAGTAAGAACACAAAAATATAGTCACAGATACAAGACAGTCCGTCAACACTAATTAACATAAAAATGTTCCAGTATTCAGACTCTTAAATTATTTACTTGCACGTGTCCATATAGTGCTGAAATGACTGGTTGATTAATTTAATGACAGGAAAATATTGAATTATGATAATCAGCATAATCATTTAAGTAACTTATCATGCAAAAGAACCCAACATTGACATGTTCCAGCTTCTCAGATGTAACGATTTTCTGCTTTTCATTATTTCATCACTGTAAATTGAACTTTAGGCTGTTGTTTATTGGCAGTTTACAGTAAGATCACCTTAGCCACTTACATCTGAGACATGCATTTCTTAATAATATTAATATTAAATATGTGATACAAATAATTAATTCCAGCACAAAGAAAACTAAACATTGTACCGAAGCATTAGTAGATAAACTATGAATGTGATATTCTACTGAAATGGACAATCCTCCTAAATATGGACAAGACCACACCTCAGCCTTTAAAAACCTATAATGGTCATGTTCCAATATTTACAAATGTATATAAACAAATAATATTAAACCAAATTTTCCCAAATACCATGCAACACATTAAAGTGGCATCACATATTTTATGATCATTAGGAATGTTTATTTGAAGAAGTCTCTGATACACCCCCCACCCCTTTAACTGTACATTATGTATTTGGTGTTTTTGAGGCATTTTTATTCCAAAACAGAGTTTGGACTGGAAAGGGTATTTTTTTAAGAATGTATTTAGGATAAGTAATAATGAAACCCTGGAAACTGTGAATCAACAGTCCATTAGCTCCACAGAAAGTTCAAAGAAAGCTATATAAACCCACACCACATTTACTGGATTCTCAAAGCTCTTAAAGGATACAGCAGATAGGCACACAATTTTATTCAGCTATGCAACATAACAGCAATAGGAGTGAGTGGGTGGGGAAATCCTCTTGGTAGTACCTGCATGTATCCAGTCTCGGTTTTCACAGCAGTGTCCCCCAGCCCCTCCCTGCCAGCCATGGTATGGAAGAAGAACTCTGTAGGCGTCAGGCCAGAATAGAAGCTGTCGGCTACAAAGCCTTTAGCAGCAGGCAGCTGTAGTAAAAAAAACAAAAAAAAAACAAAAGTTTGTTCGGCCATTAACTGGGCATGTGTGAAATGTGCCAATAAAAGCAGAGGCCACTGGCCTTGTAGTATGTTACTACACTACATGAATGAATGAAATTTATTTAATTGCCATGCCATTTTATAGCCCTCATGGGATTACAAGACAACTTAACATCATGGATCAACAACATAATATTTTTCTTCCTACAAGGAACTGTGTTCTCACCGGCTGGCCACATAGTAATTCACATAGTTCAGGTGAAAGGAGATAGATTTTTCAGTAAAATAATCATTTTTAATAATGTTAAGCAGGCAAAATCCAACTCAAAACCTCATCTGCCCAGTGTTGTTTACATCTTTTGAATACTTTCTCAGTATCAAACAAAGATATCAATTTTGTGCAACTGGTACAATTTTTCAAAACCACATTTACAACACATAATATCCATCCATCCATTTTCCTCCGCTTATCCGTGACCGGGTCACGGGGGCAGCAGTCTAAGCAAAGATGCCCAGACTTCCCTCTCTCCAGACACTTCCTCCAGCTCCTCCAGGGGAATGC